TTTCAAATACGTGTTGTTGTAATGTGTGTTGAAATTGCTTTGTACATGCTTAAGACAGAAACGATGATAGACGTATGACCCATTCCACCCAGAATCTGGTTTCTTAACCTCTGAGATTATACCTTTATGTCGATCTGAGATTAAGCATATACCAGCTCTATTCGGCACAATAAAGTGGCGTAGATGATATAGGAACCAACCCCAACTTTCACTAGTCTCCTCATGAACAAAGGCAAATGCTAGAGGAAAAATCTTTTTCTGAGCATCAATCCCAGTAGCAATAAGAAGCTTATGCTTATACTTGCCATTTACAAATGTGTCATCGATGCTAATTACAGGCCGACAATGAACAAACCCATCAATAAAAGCTTTGAATGCCCAGAACACCTTTTTAAATATGTCAAATTCGGAAGCACGAGCCTCATATTACCACTTTACTATCGTCCCAGGGTTGTATTCCAAAAGAGCACCCATAAACTTCGGCAAGATGTTATAAGAACAATCACAGTCACAAAAAACCTTGGCTATAGCCTTATTCTTCGCATTTCACGCCTTCTTGTATGTTATCAAATAATGATACTCTTTTTTCACCATTTCAATGATGACAGACATTGTTACATCAAGTGTAGCACGAACCACACCCTCAATCCATTTAGAAATAAAACCTGCATCAAGCTGACAGTGGTCCTGGTTCAACCATGGGTAGAAACAAGTGTGAGGTGCCTGATATTTTGTGATCTCAAACATTCCATGCTTCGCCTTCAAAACTGCTCGTAGCCTCCATTTGCATCCACATTGTGCGTACATCTTGCACCTCAACACCAAATGCGTTTTATTTGTATCAACAACAACATATTGTTGGTGCATCTTAATTGAATACAATTTAACTGCCATCTCCAGCTCTTTTTAAGTCCTGAACACCATACCCTTAGCCAGTTCTAGTCTTGTAGGATCCCATGTTTTAATTCCATTCACAAGCTGTCAATTTTATTCTAGTTTTTCGATTCAACGTTTGAGAAAAATGTTGACTCTGGCTCATGCATAGGAACCTCCCCATCATCCTCAACAGAATTACCTTCAGCATCGTAATCATCATCATCAGAGTCATCACTCAATAAATCTTCTGGCAACTCTTCTTCTTCGTAGTAATCATTCCGGTCATTAGCACACATTCCTTCATATGTATTATTATCAACCTGATGCACTACAAGTGCTTGGACAGGGTCCACTGGAGTTAGTGTTGGGGTAACTGCAATGATTTTCATCCCTTCGTTACCCATAGCATCCCAATATTCTTGCTGGGATGAGCATTTGGGAAAAGTACTAGGTCTTATTTCAGACTGTGCATGTGTATATCGATTGTATTCTTCCATACACTACATTGTTGCAGGGGTGTAATAATTACCCACCATGGCTGAAGAGTCAAGCACTGGGATATATGGTTCTTGGCTGAGCATGACAGTGTATGAACCAACATCAAGCCAACTTTCATTACTTCCACCAATGTCATCTGTCCTAACCTCTTCGCTCACATACAAATCAACTTTGTTAACACCTTGATTGTCAAATACAACATCTACCATTGCCTCTACACCATTGTTGTCAACAACTTCTAGTGGAATATATGTAAAAAGGTTAGTTCCCAATGCAGTAGGAAACCTACAGATGAGTTTGAGGTTATATTTATTCCTATCTATCCCCGTCACATCATGCAACCTATCCACCAATGCCGAGTAAGTTGTGTCATGCGCAACCTTTATCACACGCTTATAACCATTCATAAAACATCATGGTTCTTGAAAATGGTACCACCCCAATAAATCATCACAGAAGCACGTCTTCCAGCCATTCTTAACAATTTTACAATAAATACATAAAAAATTAATGTGTATACACAACACAAAATTTTACTTTCATCGAAACTTTTGTTTGTTCATGCTTTGAAATGTAAATAAATTACGTAGCCCATTCTAATTTTCAATCACCCAATATTAAAGAAGGAGCACATTAAGTACATAAAATGGTTGGCACTTACATCATCAAAGTAATCTATAAAGACTACTACTATATTTTTAAACCTCCTAGAATAATTATGAAAACTTGAAAAATTTAACTCGCCAATTCTAATAGAAACTTTTTTATCCCTCCTAAATTAAATTCAATATGCTCCGGTCATTGAAAAGTGCATAGGCACACCTTCCCCATATGTTTTTTTTTTGTTACAAGGTTGGCCACTGTGGCTTGAGTTAGATTAGAGCACACCGGAACATAGCAAACACATGTATTCTACCTCCACCCTTTCTACCTCTGCCGACAACTCAATTCCTATACCCAACAAACAAAAAAAATAGAATTTACACTGTGGAAAGTTTTTCACCAGGATCAATAATCTAATTAAAATAGAGAATCAAAAATCTAATCAAAATTGGTAAGGTCAAACCACATAAAACAACTTACAACTCTTAAAAATATTTAAAAACATGTTCTTCCAAAATTTGATGATCATTCCACCATTGAAAATTATATCAAAATTTCAATTTCTAAACCCATTTCAGATTTCTTAAGCATAAAAAGAATAATTTCAAATAGTTAAGAGTAATGGATGTGTGTGTTATGTGTTTTATTGTGCATGAATGTGAGCTTTGTGGCGTGTGTACTGTTGTTTGTGTGGGTGGGTTGTGCAACGTGTGGCATGTGTGTTGTGCATGCTATGTGTGTGCATTGAGTGTTAGGGCCATTTGATTAAACACATTGTGTGCATTTGGTCGAACACCTTGCACGCGAGTTGTGTTGTGTAGAGACAGAGATAGAGACTCGGGAGGGGAAGAAGAGAGAATGAGAGAATTAAGAAGAGGGGAGACGCGAATTAGGGCATCTTGAGGGTGGTTTGTGCGCAGAGAGGATGACAGAAATAAGGAAAAGGGAGGGGGAGGGGGAGGGGAGAAAGAAAACTAACTCAGAGAGACACTCGAGGGGAGAAAGAATTGCCTACATTTTTATTATTATTGTGGTAATTATTTTTATCATAATTTTTGTTTAAATAAATTACTATTTTGTAAGTGATTTACCACGGTTATGATAATTTTTATCTAGTGTGAGTGTTTTTTATCACAATAATAATAAAAGTATCCACAAATGAAATAAATGGAGATATGATAACAACATTTATTTTTTTGGTATCATTGACAACTCCTAATTATAAGGATGAACTGTCTCTGTGTTTCGAAACCAATAATAATATGTACGTTATTTTTATCCACCACCTCATTTACACCATTTGATGTGGTATGATCTCAGTCATTAAATGTTAAACAAACTCAATGGGCCCACTAATTCAATAGTTCATATTAAGGTGGTGTACAAAGATAATACAAAGAGATGACGTGTGCAACGTTGTTGAAACCTTCTCAAGATGGGTGCCAAGACATTCAATGGTGTTGCAGACTATAGCATCAAAATTGGTACCGCATTAAAATTTATAATTTTTTAAGATAATTACATTTTTTAGAAATTACAATTGCAAAACACATGATCGATAAAATGTTATGAACAATTATGGAAGTTATAATTTTTAAAATTAATTGTTATAACTATTAATATAACTTTTAAAGGTCAAATTATATTTTTTAAAAGTGAAATTACAACTAAAAAAAGTATATTCATGATCAAACATGAATTATCGTAAGCAATTTTAATTTTAATTTTAAAAGATATAATTTGACCTCCAAAAGTAATAACTTCTGAAAAGTTACTAATTTTGTTTCGATATCATAAAATTATCCCGTAACTTATACGTGGGTCACATAATATTTTATTACCTTTGACTCTCACTTTTTATTGAGTTTTGAGAGTCTTTATCCTTTGCCAAACTATGTCCTTACCTTATGAATCGACATTATATGATTTGAAAAGACAATCTAACTATGTTCAATAATTTCAATAAAAAAATAACTAAACATGTAAAACAGTTGAGGGCCGGCCATCTATCAATGTGTTCTTAGCAAACAAAAAAAGTACCAGAGATGTGCTAGCATGCATGAATCCTCATAATATGTAGGAAATTCTTTAGTAATATAGCAAGTTGGGTAAAAAAAAGGTCGAGAAGAACTCACAGTAATGCTATTTAAACCCAGTTAAAACACATCAAATACAATAATCAAAAGTTAGCTTGTAGATAATTTTTCAAAAATAAAAAATAAGAGTTAGTATATTTAGTCAGTAAGTGAAATCCATATATCAAAAGAGCAAAAAATAAAAACAAAAGGAAATGGGATGTTAGTTTTTCTTGATCGAAGCAGAAGGACAACCATCCCCTAATCAAAAGACAAGGCTGTTGGTAATTGCCATTGTCCTTGCAACCTCAAGTTTTCAGTTGATCTTTGGTATCCTTTAGCCATGCTTAATTTAACCCTAATGCAATCCACCACCAATCACCTTTAGAAGACCCTCCTTTTCATATTTTCAGCAAACTGGTGCACCAAATCTGGCCACACCAATCCAGGCTATTGGAAATTTCCATTGCACCAGGTTTGGGAACACCAATCCATGAAATTTGAAATTTCATATGTTCTGTAATGAGGTCCATAATCTATTGGTAAAAGGGCATTCAAAGAAGAGGTGTCTGTGGGTATTTGGCTCACTTATGCATTAAAACAAAACACAAAGGGGCCTTTGAATCACTCAATAAGATATGGAACGCCCAAAGAGACCATGGTATTCTGCTGAATTTCCATGTACTTCAATTTGCAAATATTTTTCCTCTTATATGCATGTGCTTGCATGATCTCGGCCTTTTACCCAAAACCAATAGCAAAATGTGGGAATTCCCTTATATTTTAACAGACAAGCTGCTTGCAAGGGTTGTTCATTTATATTCCTTGTCGGTCCAAGCTTGAAGTTTAGTGGAATTGCCGGCTTGAAGTTTAGGCCAAAATCAGATTTACGGCAAAATACAGATTTAGGGCAAAAATCGATTTTGGCCAAAATTGATTAATGCTGGAATGGAGAATGAAGATACTCACTGGTGGAGGTTGTGGTCACTGCTCAGTCGCTGGTGGCTGGTGGAGCTGTGGATTAAGGTTAGATTTCACAAGGCTTCGATGGTCTGCTCAGTCGCTAAGTCGTTGAAGGAGGAGGAGATGACTTCGTCGTTGGAGGAGGAGGAGAGGACTTCATCGTTGAAATATTTGACATTTTTTGACCTAGCCTGTGATTTGGGAATTTTTAACCGAGGTGAATAAACGTTTAAATTGTCATTTAAAATGACGTTTTCATCCCCTTTATAATTTTTAACGTATGTTACTGCCGTTTAAAAAAACCATTAACAATTATGTTTTCAGGAAAAAAATTTGAACTTCAAATCATCATTTCAAATGACGTTTTTAAAAAAAGACTGGGTTTGAGAATTAAGTTTAAAAGTGACTTGTTTTGGGAATTATGTTTTGAGGGAGCATGGGTTTGGGGAAAACCTCCAAAAAATAGTAAAATTTAAAAGTAACAAATAGGAACACTTAACCACAAAAGAAATAGTAAGATTTAAAAATAAAAAATAGTAATTTTTAATATTAATATTTGAAAAAATAATAGTAGTAACATGCTCAACAAACAACAGTAATATGCTTAACAAAACACAGTAACATGGAACATTCGAACCCAAAAATAGTAATATTTAAAAAAATCCAAAATATGGGTTTTTGGGTTGGTGTTATATCTCTCTCTCTCTCTCTCTCTATATATATATATATATATATATATATATATATATATATATATATATATATATATATATCAAAAAACACAAATGGATTTGGGATGGATCAAGTTTTATAACCACATCTAGTATTTTGGACAGCAACTAGTTTATTTCATTAAGACCACTGTCGCCCTAGTTCGTCAACAAGAAGTTCCTGTCAAGAACTATAGCGGCACAACAATACACAGAGCTAGAGTTAGCAACAATCATGGGAAGGACATCAAATCTCCAAACTCAAACTATAACACCAAGGGGAATCGCCTCCGAGAACTAAAGACGATGACGATAAAAGTGAAGGAGTGATTCGAGATGAGAAAGGGTTTTTGGTTTTGATTCGAAAGTCAGAACAGTAGGATTCGAAATGAGAGAGAGTTGATGGAGCATCCACTGTTGTTAGTGAGGTCGCTAGACTTAATGTTGATGAAGATGATGCCACAAGAGATCACGTCAACAAAGGGAAAAGAGTCATCAAAACTGGAGTTTCAGACGAGCTATGCCTTTTTGGTGGTGGGTGTGGGACTTTAAGACATAGCCTGCTCTTTTATGAAAGGGGGTTCACTAGCCAAAGAGAGAGAGATCTATTTGAATTCGAATTAAATGATAACAATTTCTAAAATAGGAAATTAATTTTAACTACTTTCAAGGAAAAGTATTTTGGAGTTTTTAAAAAATAATGGACTTAACTACTTATTAGTAAGATAAAAAATAGACTTGTCCCAAAATAAATTTTCTTGACAAATTAAACTCATTATAAGTCCCTTAAGGAGGATTCAGCCCCAATTTTTACTAAAAAAAATTATACAGAATCTATTGATATTTTTTTTTGACATAGGATTAGGTTAGACCACATACATGCGTGCTACCACCATTGTTGCCCCCAGTTGGATCAAGTATTGTGCAATCCAACTTTATCTTTCTGATAAAATTCATTTGTTAAATGAGTTCTTAATTTCTTACCTAATTTTAATATTTTACCCGTAAGAATTCAAATATTGCACCGGTTCAAATTTGAATTTTTCACCAGGCCAACTTTGAATTTTTTTAATTGTTCATTAATGGGCACTTCTGGTGACTTTCTGGGTTGCATTTGATCAGTGGTGATTGTTCTGAACACCCACCTCTGCTTCTATATATTTGCCAAGATTCATTCTGCATATTAACATATAAAATTCGTTATTAACACAATCATTATATTCATCATCATCATTGTTGTTAGAGTGTTCATATAAGAGAGTACGAAAACACAATTTTCAATTTGTCATACACACAAATTGTAGAACTTCCTCTTATATTTGATCATTATCTTGTAAGGCAGATGCACAAAGATAATAGTGTTCACCCTATCCTACGGGTAGGAAATATGGTCTTCTGTCTTCCTACCCGATACTTTACAGAAGAATTTTTTCTTGGCCTACCCTACCCGACAAGAGTGGTATTCCTACCTGACTTCCGACCAAATTATTCAAGTAGGAAGTTGGGTAGGAAATTGGATGATAGTTATTAATTTTTGGATCAGTTTAACAATTCAATTAAATAACATGCACCAACTTAACAAAATAATAAACCAATAACACTAAAATCTAAAACAATTACAACAAAACATAAGAAAGCATAAACATCAATCCATTATAATTGTTGTACAAATACAATAAAAATTATTTTAAGTTTAAACTATATGGTTAGGGAATTAGGGTTTTTAGTTATATATATATACTAGTAATAACCCGTGTCTGAAGACACTAAGTAATTCAAAAAATCTCGAGCACTGGTCATGCAATATAAATATTTTTAAATAGTACTTTATTTTTTATTATTTTCTTTAGTTACACAATTTAAATCAATTTGAAAAAACTATTTTCTAAAAAATCTTGAAATTTTTTTTTAAAAACACGACCCTTAAAAAATATCAATATACACACAATTTATATATTTAATGATTATACCTCTAAAATATCTTCTTTCTTTTTTGTAGGAGTCGATATTAACATGTGTGCGTTGGCGGGTATATGTATAGAGAGAGAGAGTGAGTATGAGATAGATAGATAGAGAGAGTTTTATATGAGAGATGAGATAAACGTATGAGAGATGAGAGATGAGAGAGAGAGAGTGATGTTAGAGATGGGAGAGTGTGTGTTTAAATTGTTTATTAGAGAATCTTTGTAATTATAGCTTTAATAAGTATTAGATAACTTTATCTCTTTGTCTACCTCATATTCACACATACACTCTCTATCTTAAATGTATATAATAATAAAATAATAGGAGTTGGAGAATTTAATTTGGATGGTTGTATATATCTAATAACATCTCCTAAGGGCATCTCCAACCATGATTCAAATTTTTATTCAAATTTAAATTAGCATTTTGAGTAAAAAAACTTGATTTAATATAAAAGACTCTAATAGACAAACTCAAATTTAAAGAAGAAGAGATCCAAATTTAAATGAAGGTAAACCCAAATTTAAAAGGGAGTAATGATGACCATTAGATCTATAAAAGATGGTAAAATCTCAGTATTAAAGATTTGAGTAAAAATTTGAATCTCTCTTAATTTGAGTAAAAAAATGAGTTTCCCTTGATTTGGTATAAGTTTGAATTAAGAGTTGGAGCAAGTTTTTTAGACTTTTTTTACTCAAATTTAAATTTGAGTCTAAATTTGAGTAAGGGTTAGAGATGCCATAACCTGACTCAAATTTAGACCCAAATTTAAATTTGAGTAAAATGGTTTTAAAAACTTGCTTCAACCTTTGACTCAAATTTATATCAAATCAAAAGAAACTCATTTTTTACTCAAATAAAGAGATTCAAATCCTTACTCAAATATTTAACAGTGAGATTTCAACCTTTTTTAAAGATCCAATTGTCATCTTTATTCTTTTTTAAATTTGTATTTGCCCTCACTTAAATTTGGGTTTCTCCTTCTTTAAATTTGAGTTTGTTCATTGGAGTCCTTTGTATCAAATCAAGTTTTTTACTCAAATTTAGAGTAAAAATTTGAGTCATGGTTAGATGAGAGTGTTTGTGTTTAAAATGTGTGAGAGATAGGAAAGAGAGAGATGTAAAAAGGAATGAAAATCTAATTAGGATCATATAGATATAAATAGATAGATATATATAGGGTGACATGTGTTGATGAATCTATAATTTGTTAGAGATAATCCTTGATATTAGAGTTTTAATAGGTATTAAATGTATTTTATTATTATTAGATATATATAACCATCCAAGAGAGTTATTTCAGATATGAGAGAATATGTGTTTAAAACATGTGAGAGATAGGAGAGACACAAGACTCAAAGGGATTCTCACGTTGGAACGGATTAAACACGCTAGGTTTACACACAAACTACATAATTTAGGTAGAAGATTCTTCTTAAGTTCTTTCATTGAGACTTAGGGTATTATATATGTATGTTTTTAATTCTCTTGATAATTATATGATAAATATGTATGAATTCTTGGTTTCTTTATCATTGGAACATGGTCTCAAACAAAATACATGTTTGGGTTTAAGGAACACTTGTTCTTGAATTTTTAAAATCCTAGTTTTTCCAAAATACATGTTCTATTGTGAAATTCATATGGATTCTTGATTTCTGAATTCATATTCTTGATTAAATCATGTTTTCATCTAATATTTGTTCTTGTTCCAAGAAATTATGATTTTTGGCAAAACTCAAGAATTTTGATATCGAAATTGTGAATGTTTTATTGAGATGATCTCTTGCATATTTTAATTCTTTTAGTAATGTAGTATATTGAGAATTGTGCAGTTGTGATACTTGAATTGTTAATGAAAATTGTGATTGATTAAGATTATGATCGTTGAAAAGGTTGTGGTTTCATCTCTTGTATGGTTTGTTGTGATGGACTTGAATTGCCTTCGATAGCTGTCGTAGAGTGTTAGAGGTTAGTCTATTCCAGTGGGGGTGAGATGGTTGCCTAACACTTGTAGTTGATTGTTGTTTGTGAGAGCAATCACTATTGTTCACGTAAGTTCGAGACTAAGGGATGGAATACCTTTCTTGAGAATGATTCGTTAGTGCCGTGAAAGACAGTATACGTCCTTTTTAAAGTGGTTTGTGATTTGGTCCTGCGGGGAATGATTGAGATTATGTGGTTGTGGTGGGTGAATGAGGCAGAATCGTTGTGTAAATTCCTAAGAAGCAACCAATATATATGACAATGAGGATGAACTAACATACATGAGAATATGGAATGATGTTACTGAGATATTTATTGATTGCTTTAATTTCTTGCAAGTTGATTCCTGTCATTAATTTACTATATTCTGTACACTTGAGATAATTACAACTATCATGGTTTTATTCTCAAAATTTATATATGTTATTTTCCAAAAGAGACATGCCATCTTTTATTGTTTTAAAAACCTTGTTGGGATTTGAGAGGGATTTCCTACAGGCTTTTGCTCACCCCCTACAACACACTTACAGATTTTGGCATAGAAGAGGATATCAATGTGGATGAGCAGATTGATTAAGAGCCGTTGGAGGTTTAAGATGTGGATCCTACCTTGGTGGAATAGAGTTGATCTATTTTTGGTTTAGGGTTTGAAAGATTTTTATAAAATAATATTTTAGCTAGTTTTTATTATTCCATTGCTAGATATTTTTAGTTTTGAATTATAAGTTGGAGAAGTTTCAATGTTTTATTGACTTTAGTATTTGTTCTCTATCGAATGGATGAACGGTTTATTACTTAATGGTTATTTTTAGTTACTCTCATGATTGAATGGTTTGTAGATAGTAATGCCTCCCAGGGTGGATTTTGGGGCGTTACAAAGTTGGTATCAGAGCTTAAGAATTAGGTCTTACATAAGAGTTGTAGGTTGTGGACTATCATTGGAGCATTAGGTTAGGGTAAAGAAACTCTTGGCTTGAATTTGTTTGAAGCTATACAGTTATAAGATAAGTGTGATTTGTTTCTTAGTTAGGTTAGAGATTAATTATTTGTTCGAATTCATGGATTACCTAGTTTAGATGAATTTTAAAAACAAATTGGGATGGATATGTTTGTTCTATACATAAATGACAATTCTAGGAGACGAATGATAATTGGGTTGTTGGTTAGTAAATGATGCTAGGCATGAATCTTTATGCAAGTGACATTATCTATATTGGAGAAGGGTATGAGGTAAAATTTGTTCAAAAGACACCCAAACTCAAATTAGACAACTGTTGCAGAACCCTCAGTCAAGTCGACTACCGTTCTCTAATTTGACCATAACTCTTTGTTGGAAAGTCCAAATTGCGCACCATTTTTTTTGTTAGAATCTTAACTCG